AGTGAAAAAGTGCCTACATTAACCAAGGACTGATCCCCTGACTCAGAAGGGAACTTAGCGGGGACTCAGGAATTCCACCAGACTGAAGAGAAATGCCAAACCAAGGCCATCTGGTATGTAGCATCAAATTGTTCGGTCTCCTTCCAAGCCAGACAGATTGAGTTACTGAAGGCACTGGGGCACCGGTTGAGGCTCTGCCAACCACAGGAGCAGTTTTGGTTTCTTTAGGGTTAGGAATATTTGTTTAGGAGCCGCTTTATGCTGAGCTTTTGGAGGGTAATGGTGGAGGGACTGAAGCTGTCAAATTTGTTGACATCTGACCCATCAGGATTGGACTTTTCAGGGGCCTCTGAAACCTGCACCAGGGTTTACAGATCAGAAAAATCTGAAGCAGTCTAGACAAATGAGGCCCTTATCTTCTTGCTGCCTACTGCAGTCCTTGCTTTAACCAGATTTGAACTTGTTGAGCTAGATACCATTGGGTTTCGATCTTTGCATCTTCGTTTCAGCTTTTTTGACTTGTTTTTCCTCTTTCTGCAGCCACTGATGCTATTAACATTAACTCCTATGATTTGATTTTGTAATGCACGTGTCATCGTTTGTACTGTAAGAAACAGGTCATAGAATTTTTATTCCCTCTTTGAGAAGTTTCTTATCTGTGAAGTTCAACTTGACCTACATTTCATCTCTTTTACAACCTCAGAGTTGATATTTTCAGGTGGTTTATCTCTGAAATTTAATTTGAGGCTCTGTTTTTGTGCCCGTGTTACATACAACATCATGATGCCCTGATTGTGGAAGCCAAATTCCAGAAAGAAATGAAATTTTTGCTTTTTTTGCTTGTTTTTAAACAATCATGGATGATTAATGTTGGTGTGCCTTGGAGGAAGTATTTGGGGTTATAATTTGAGACTTCGTAATTCAAGTAAATGGTTCAACATTTTCTTAAAGGCTGGAAGATGTAGGTGAGTCTGTTTGTGGATGGTTGGGCTTTGCTCCTTTGTTGATAAGCTGGTAGGCACCTTGAAGGGGAGAAGGAGCTCTCTTTAAGAATTTGCTGTTGGTATTTTTGGTGCATTCTGCCTTTTGGTATCACATTTATCATCTCACGTGTGCCCTTAATAAAAGTGAGAGAGAGCTGGACATAGCTAAAACTTGTTCTCTGGAAGTCTGATGAAGAGTCTTCATCAGTGCCTCCCAGTCTTAGCAAGTGTTAGAGCAGTGATCACTGTGATGCACAGCTCCAAGGCAAGAACTCCTACATTTCTTTCAGGGTTCAATCAACTTCTTTTGGATTCTCATGAAGCTAACATAAAGTGAAGATTGGCATCGATTGTGTCATTAAAGACTAGAGTTCTGTTGCACATCTCATGGAAAATGAGAAGAAAATGAGTCTGTAGGAGGTGCGTACTGTGTGCCAGTCACTGTAAAGCTTGTATTATTTTTAGCCTTCAGTTTCCCAAGAAAGAAGTCAAAGCCATGAGGTGCCTGGTTATTGATGTGTTTCTAGCAAAGGGTTACTCAAGGGGGTACTGTTAGTATTTTCAACAGCAACGTTCTTTGTTGTACAGAACTGTGCCCTGATTCAGGAGACATTTAGCTCTCCTGGGCCCTCTGCTTTCAGTGCCATAGTTCTTCCCCAGTCATCGTAACTGCCAAACACACCCACTGCTTTTAAAGGCTACCTGCCCTTGCTATTGGCAATAGGCTCTCAGTAAATACTGATGAATGCTTTTTATTTTTAATTTATTTATTTGTTTGTTTGTTTGTTTATTTATTTTGAGACAGAGTCTCACTCTGTCGCCCAGGCTGGAGTGTAGTGGTGTGGTCACAGCTCACTGCAGCTCCCACCCCCCGGGCTCAAGGGATCCTCCAACCTCAGCCTCCTGAATAGCTAGGACTGACCACAGGTGCACCACCATGCCCGGCTAACTTTGTGTTTTGTTTGTTTGTTTGTTTTGGTAGGGATGTGGTTTCATTATATTGGCCAGGCTGGTCTCCAACTCCTGGCCTCAAGTGATCTGTCCGCCTTGGCCTCCCAAAGTGCTGGGATTACAGGCGTGAGCCACCACTCCTGGCTTGAATGCTTTTATAGAGAGCTAGTGCTTGGATTCCATCTCTGAGCACGTGCATCTGTTGTAATAGAGAAGAATATCCTCCAAGATGGTTTCATGTTTTTATTACCTAAGATTTTCATAATATCTTATGTTTATGAAGTAACAATATTTATCCTATACTATATAATTGGAATAGAGTTCTTTTTGTTGATTAAAAATGAGTATATACCGTATAGTTTATGGCTTGATTTTATTCACCTTTTCTCTTAAGCATTATGGCACCATTCATAATAATAAAAACATAATGTATCATGTTTCATCATGATTTCTTCTTTCTTTTCAGTACGTTTTTCTAAGACAGGATTTTATGGTAGGAATTTACAGAAATGCTGACTACAAATAGCTCAAAATCCATTTCTCCCTAACTGTTAGCATTTATACATATAAATGTCAGAGAATACATAGACATTTTATCTTGTTTGAAGTTAAATTTAACTAGTTGGCAGTATTTCTTGGCAAACTGATAATGGAGGTATTATCCGTTACTAAATCTTCAGCCATATTGTGTTCATCAAGTATTCTGTAGACTATATGTCATAAACGGATTCTTTTGCACTTCGGTGAGAGGAGGGAGACTTGGATTCATTCATTCATTCAATAGGTGGGTACTTATAGTACTTGGGATACATCAGTGAACAACACAGATGATGATTCCTGCTTGCACACTAGCATAAATGAATATAATAAGGAAATTACAAGTTAGTTTGGAAGGAGGTAGATGCTGTGGATAATAATAAGGTTGGTAAGGAAGACAGGTGTGCCTGGGGTTGGGCTGGAGGTGCAATTTTTTTTTTTTTTTTTTGAGACTGAGTCTTGCTCTGTTGCCCAGGCTGGAGGAGTGCAGTGGCATGATTTCGGCTTAATGCAACTTTCGCCTCCTGGGTTAAAGCGATTCTCCTACCTCAGCCTCCCGACTAGCTGGGATTACAGGTGCCCGCCATGACGCCTGGCTTATTTTTGTATTTTTTGGTAGAGACAGGATTTTACCACGTTGGGTAGGCTGGTTTCAAACTCCTGACCTCAAATGATCCACCAGCCTTGGCCTCCCGAAGTGCTGGGATTATAGGCGTGAGCCACCATGCCTGGCCTGGAGGTGCAATTTTAAATGAAGTGGTTTGGAGAAGATTTCTCAAAAAGGTGACTCTTATTATTTTATTTTATTTGTTTTTATATATATATTTTTGAGATGGCATCTCACTCTGTCACCCAGGCTAGAGTACGGTGGCGCCTGCTCAGCTCACTGCAAACTCTACGTCCTGGATTCAAGCTATTCTCCTCCCTCAGCCTCCTGAGTAGTTGGGACTATAGGCGCCTGCCACCACGGCCAGCTAAGTTTTGTATTTTTAGTAGAGATTGGGTTTCACCATGTTGGCCAGGCTGGTCTCAAACTCCTGACCTCAGGTGTTCCACCCACCTCCCAAAGTGCTGGGATTATAGGCGTGAGCCACTGCACCCGCCTAAAAAGATGACTTTTAAACAAAGACCTGAAGAAGAAATGAGTACTTACTGAGCTTTCCTTATTTATAGGCACTGTTTTAGGAGCCAGAATGGCTAGGTAGATCTTCTGTAATCTACAAAAAACAATTTGCATGGCCAGATTATGGGTGTGTACACTAAGATGAGAACGCTCAAACCACATCTGTGGAACATGTCTCTTAAAATTAATCTTTTTTAAAAAAATCATTTTGAAGTAATTGCCAGTAGCAGGTATTTGTTTCAAAAGGAAAGAGAAAAAAGGCTAAGCAAAAAAGGAATGAGCTTTGTGTCCAAGTCCAGCAGTCCTTACAGAATTACTGCTTCTTCCCACTGGTGACATCATGGTGACAAGGATCCTCCAGGGGTGACAGTGACAAAGTAGGAGATGTTGCTTCAAATAAAAACAGCTTTTGTGGAGAAGCTTAAAACACAGTGGACCAGAGAACAGGAATTTACTGCTGCTTCTGATGTCAATGGGCTTTGTGACTTTGGGCGGGTTGCTTGAGCTCCTCCACTTCTTAGACCCGCTAATTATTTGTTAGACATGATGTCTAAGCACTTTATATACATCATCCTGTTTAATGGGATAAGTTATAAAACATGAGGAGGATGAACTTCACAAGATAACCATTAAAGTCCTTTTCTAGCTCCTGTGTTCCTTTTTTTTTTTGACTTGTTAGTTCAAAGACATAATTAGACTACTGTTTGTCTTACGATAAGCTTATGAATTGAAGCCAGGCCACAAAATATGATTATTTGTCATAGCTTGAGCCATGGAGTAGGACTGGCTCTAGGATTCCTGGTTTTTCTCTTCCTGACATGTCTCGTGGTGTTAAGAAGGTCATGTCCTGTTTAGCATTTTTTATTTGCAAGTGAGTGAAGGGGGCTCAGCACTGGTTTCATTGTGATCTCCTTTGTACAAACACCAGCCCCAGATTTCCCTTCCGCTCCGTGAACTCTGAACAGGACTACCAAAGAGTTAAGGGTTGGAGCTGGAGGAAAAGCAAGGAGGAAGCCTTGCTCTGAGGGATAGCCACAGCGCGCCTGCTGTCTCAGATAACCTTCTGTAGAAAAAGAACTCTAAAGGTGGTTGCAAGGATGCTTGCAATGTATTTATTATTGACTTACCTCCAGAAGATCTGTAAAATGATATACCCAGATGGCCCTGATGGCCCCTTTTAGCTCTAAAGTTCAAAACTTCTCTTTTGATTAGAGCGCCTTTGGATAAATTTACCTAGACAGATTTCACCCAGGATTGAGTATTTATCAGAAGACGAACATGCACCAAACACACGGAGCTGACCCTCACCCAGTTTTACCCACTTCTGTGGTTTAACTGCCGCCTCCCCAGCCTGTTGAAAGAAGAGCTTCTGCCCCTCACCTCCTTACTGTTGTCTTGTTTTGTAGATGATGAACCAGGTGGAAGGGCAGCAGAAGAACCTCGTGCACGCCATTGAGTCCCTGCCAGGGTCCGGCCCCCTCACTGCCTTGGACCAGGACCTGCTGCTCCTGAAAGCTACCTCTGCTGCCACCCTCAGCTGCCTTGGGGAGTGCCTCAACTTGTTACAGCAGAGCGTGCACCAGGCGGGCCAGCCCAGCCAGAAGCCAGGAGCCTCGGGTAAGACCACCGGCAGCTCGTCCACGTTTAGGATGAGTACACATGCTCTGTGCGTGTGTCCCATTGTCTTCCTCCTTTAAGTCCATCCATTTCTCTGTGATCCTTCCATCTATCCTTATATCCAAGTGTTTCTGCTGCGCTTCCTCTCTACTGTTTGGGATATATATATATTTTTTTTTTTTTTGAGACGGAGTCTTGCTCTGTATCCCGGGCTGGAGTGCAGTGGCCGGGTCTCAGCTCACTGCAAGCTCCGCCTCCCGGGTTTACGCCATTCTCCTGCCTCAGCCTCCGGAGTAGCTGGGACTACAGGCGCCCGCCACCTCGCCCGGCTAGTTTTTTTTGTATTTTTAGTAGAGACAGGGTTTCACCGTGTTAGCCAGGATGGTCTTGATCTCCTGACCTCGTGATCCGCCCGTCTCGGCCTCCCAAAGTGCTGGGATTACAGGCTTGAGCCACCGCGCCCGGCCTGTTTGGGATATATTTTTATGTTACACGTTACAAATGTAACATTTTATGAAAAATGTAATTCTGCATTCCTCTCTCCTGCCCTTCCTCTACTGTTTGGGATATATTTTTATTTTACAAGTTACAAATGTAACATTTTGTGAAAAATGTAACTAAAATATTTACATAAATACTATGGAACACCTTTCAGACTTGCTGGCATCACATTATAAGTCTCGTTCCATTCATGACATTCTGTTTTTTTGTTTTGTTTTGTTTTGAAATAGAGTTTTCGCTCTTGTTGCCCAGGCTGGAGTGCAGTGGTGCAATCTCAGCTCACTGCATCCTCCACCTCTTGGGTTCAAGCGATTCTCCTGCCTCAGCCTCCCAAGTAGCTGGAATTACAGGTATGCGCCACCATGCCCAGCTAATTTTGTATTTTTAGTAGAGACAGGATTTCTCCACGTTGGTCAGGCTGGTCTTGAACTCCCAACCTCAGGTGATCCTCCCGCCTCAGCCTCCCAAAGTGCTGGGATTACAGGCCTCAGCATTCTGTCTTTAAGATCCACTGGCATGCAGCATCTGGTCCATTATTTCTGTGGTGTTGGGTCCACCACATTATACTCAGCCACTCTCGGATGACAGATAATGCACATTGCCTCCAGCTCTCTGCCCCACTCACCTCGCTGCAGTAAACATCCTCTTGCCTGTCCCCTCATGAGGAAACCTCTGGAATGCACACCAGGAGTATTTCTAGCTCTTAAGAAACTGGAGATAATAATGCACTTCCTTGAGATGCCTCAGTCCTTTTGGAGGAAGGTTTAATCAATGAGCAGATATAAAGATATTTGTGAAGATTAAGATAAAAGTAAAAATAGCCTGAGATGGGTTATGTCACATACAATTATAAAATATTATAATTAACAGAATAACAGCAGCCTTATTGTGCTTTGTTGCCCAGGGGTCACTTAATTAATGAAGGAATGAGGCAAGTTAGGTGATAGGAAGTAAAGCCAGACTATGAGTGATAGTCTTTATATTTCATGCTTTCCCCAACTGCCCTTTGCCCTTTGTTTCACCGAAGCGTAAAAGGGAAAGTTGGTTTTTCAGAGTAGACTGTATGGGGGTACAAACTCTTTGTAAAACCTACTATCATTTACTGAACTTGGCCTTGGCTACATGTTTTCTGAAATCTTTACAAAGTAGGTGTGATTATGTGCATTGTTCAGATGATATGCTGGGACACGGAACTATTAAACAACTTGCCGAAGGCCACCCAGCTAAGTGGCAGAACAAGGGCAGGACCAGGCTCTTTCTGCTGTGGCAGGCGTCTTCCCGGCCTGGGGTTCTTTGTTCAGTCCAGAACAACCACTCAGTGGATTCAGTCCCCCAGACTGAGGCTGGGAACAGTGTCTTGTGAGCATGATAGTTCTCTCAAGGCAGGTGTATATATGTTTTTAGAAAATAATTTCAGACTTTAGAAAAGTTGCAAGAATAGTATGAAAAATGCTCACATATCCCTCTACAAATTCCTCAAGCAGTAACATGTTATGATGTGTACTTCATCTTTTCCCTATATTTACATATTACAATTTTCTAACCACTTAAGAGTAAATTGCAGACATCATGTCCCTTCACTATTAAATACTTCAGTGTGTATTTCCTTTTAAAAAGGACACTCCCCTCTAAAGACAGCACAATGATCGAAATCAGTAAATTAACAAGAGTACTATCCTCTTTGCTGGTTAACCCCTTGATAGCCTTGATAGCAAAATAAAGCAATCTGGGTGCAGAATCCAGTCTAGGAGATTCAAGCATGGAGCAAAGGCACCCAGACCTGCTTTTCTACCTTTCCTCTTGCTTCTCAGCTTTAAGAATGAATCCCAAATGCAGAAGCTTATTGAGGCCTTTTGACATTTTCTGATCTGGAGGGAGCCTCAGTGACCCCCATTGAGGCCTGAACACAAATTTGGAGTGAGACTGGAGACTTTTCAAAATTTCTGTGGTCTCTTTTGCCCTGTATTGTAACTTGTAGCTTCTGCAATGTAATAGGCTCGTTCCGAGAATCTTTCACTAGTAAATACAAGCTTGAATCATTTTCTTTTTCCTAAAATTAATCCCTCTTGAAAAAAAATATTTCTTCAGGGCTTCCTAGGAAATTCGTTTTTTTTTTTTTTTTTTTTTTTTTTTTTTTTCTTCTTTCTAACTTTCACTGGATCTCTGGCATTTTTAAGGGCCCGGAGGAACAAAGCTCAAATGGATGCATTTCAGAGGTGGTGACAGGTTGAAATGGAAATTATTGGAAAAAGGGGAGACCAAGAAGTGTCCCTGAAATTATGTCACATCAGGTGCTACCTCCTTCATGTCCTCCCTGTGCTCTCTCTTCCACCCTTGACTCTCACTTGCCCTTCCTCCCTTCTTCCCTTCCTCCTTTCCTTCCTTCCTTCCTGATGGAGTCTCACTCTGTCACCGAGGGTAGAGTGCAGTGATACAACTCAGCTCACTGCAACCTCCGCTTCCCAGATTCAGGCAATTCACCTGCCTCAGCCTCCTGAGTTTACAGGTGCCCTGGGATTACAGGTGCCCACTACCCCTGGCTAATTTTTATATTTTTAGTAAGGACCGAGTTTCTCCATGTTGTCCCGGCTGGTCTCAAACTCCTGACCTCAGGTAATCCACTCACCTTGACCTCCCAAAGTGCTGGGGTTACAGGCAAGAGCCACTGCGCCTGACTAGCCCACTCTCCTTCTTTTCATCAAGAAATTTAGCTGTTTAGATGTTGTTTTCATCAAAAATTTAGCTGAAAGTTGGAGAATACAGCACGAAGCATCACAATGACTACTTTGTTTCCTTGTCGTCTTACCCTGTTTACATGTCATATTCCATGTAACACAGCCCCTGAAGTTTTAAAACAACCTACTGTGTGTCTTAAATCTATGCTACACATTGGGGGAAAATAGAATTACTTCCTGCAGGAAAAACATCGTAGTTGTCTGCAGTTAAAATGGAATTCCAGAATCTCAAGCTAGTGGGATAAGAGAATAGAGAATACGTTGGCCCTGGGAGTGCTGCCTTAAAATGTGTTTGTTTAGACACTTGGGGCTCTCAGGGTTGATAGTTGCTATAGCGGCTGCCTGACACACGTTGATAAAAATATAATGGTTATGTCTAAGAAGTGCCAGGTTGGGCTGATGGAAATCAAAATCTCATTAAAGTGAAATGCTGGCATGGTTTCATTTCAGTGTTCAATGGGCAGGAAGGCCCGTCTTACCTGAAGCGTATCAAATACTCATACAGATTGTTCCTGCATCATGGCTCTTTGCCTTCTGATCCTTGCACTGTTTTTTTTTTTTTTTTTTTTTTTTTCTTTTGTCCCTTTTGTGAATAAAAAATTTTTTTTTTTTTTTTTTTTCTCCTTCTGTCCCTTTTGTGAATAAAAAATGATTTATGATCTTGTATATTTCATCTTGTATAGCATTTAATTGTGTCTTCTGGGGTATATGTTTGCTTTGGAGCTTTTGTCTCCAAATGTTGCTCATTACGCTGTTTTTGTTTCAAACACACTGCCAGCCAGACTGAAATCTGAGAATACTTCAGTATTCATCTGCCTCCCAGCTATTCGTTTGGGCTCCCAGACCTGTTTCTGATGTTATCTCCAAGATACACTGGGTCTGAAGTGCTTCACTTAGCTTCCGTTTATGGAGAGGTGTGTAATTAAAATTTAGAAAGTAATTTGGCCGGGTGTGGCGGCTCATGTCTGTAATCTCAGCACTTTGGGAAGCCGGGGCAGGTGGATCACTTGAGGACAGGAGTTTGACCAGCCTTACCAACATGATGAAACCTCGTCTCTACTAAAAATACAAAAATTAGCCAGGTGTGGTTGGTGGACACCTGTAATCTCAGCTACTCAGGAGGCTGAGGCAGGAGATTCACTTGAACCCTGGAGGCGGAGGTTGCAGTGAGCCGAGATCGCACTGCCGCACCACTGTACTCCAGCCTGAGGGACAGAGAAAGACTATGTCTTTAAAAAAATAATAAATAAAAAATAATTTGGCTTTTCAGGTAAGACTTAAATTATGCAGCTCTTTTACCATTCCTGGTGGCTTCTAAATCTACTTCAGCAGCTTGATGGAGGTAAACAGTTGATGGACAGGGCACTGGGTATCTGTTTTCTCCAGCCTAGATGTGTGCCTTCCCTGTGCTATGGGGGAGGCAGGCAGAACTACGCTCAGAACTGGAAAAGGTTGTGCTCTTTGGGAGCCTGGGCTTTTTAGGTGGGTTTCAAGTGTGGGAGGGAACTGGGCCTGGAAAGTGATTTGAGGGTACAGAGTACTCTGCCCTCTGTGCTTCTGGTTGGTTTGCTATTTGCTTGCAAGCCTTAATCTAGGTAACATGGTTTGAGTTTGGGCAGATGCCTGTAACTAGACAAGCCCATTCTGGTGCCAGGTAAGAGCTGGCATTAGCAGCGTCATGGTGTAAAACAGGCTTGGGGAAGGACACTGGAGTCGCAGCTGCCAGAACTAGTGACAATGGAACCTTGGCAGAATGCAGTAGAT